AGGAAGTCCTAACCTAGTAACCTGTATCACAGATATTGGTAATAAATCGTGTATCATCTCTAGTTTAAATGACAGGAAGTCCTAACCTAGTAACCTGTATCAGATATATTGGTAATAAATCGTGTATCATCTCCAGTTTAACAAAAGTGTGTGAGGTTAATCTATGCATATAATCTTTTTATCTGTGTTTTGCCAACCTGATATTTAGCGCTATACACTCAGAGACTTACCACTGAACTACCGGGGGAGGCTATGTATGTGAATATCATGATATCACATTAAATAAAGAGCCATATACAAACATTTGTTAAGATAGTAAAGAATATTTGAAGTGAAATTAGTTGAATCTATGTATTAAAACTCCCCCTCCCCACCCCAATGGCATAGCGCTAAGTCTGCGGATTTATAACGCTAAATACCGGGTTTGCCCATTGTGTAGTTGTTATGTTGGTGGGGGCCATTAAATTCGGTAGATATACAGTCTTAGTTGTTATGTTGGTGGGGCCATTAAATTCGGTAGATGTACAGTCTTAGTTGTTATGTTGGTGGGGCCATTAAATTCGGTAGATGTACAGTCTTAGTTGTTACGTTGGTGGGGGGGGCATTAAATTCGGGAGATTTCCCTTTAATTACACTTAACGTTAATACAAGTTTGATTAATTAATACAAGTTTGATTAAGTTAAGTGTAATTAAAGGGAAATCTCCGACAAACAGAGTTAGATCGTTAATAACTTATTAATGATCTAACTCTGTTTGTCGGAGATTTCCCTTTAATTACACTTAACTTAATCAAACTTGCACGAACTTATTAATGATCTAACTCTGTTTGTCGGAGATTTCCCTTTAATTACACTTAACTTAATCAAACTTGCACGAATTTATTAATGATCTAACTCTTTTTGTCGGAGATTTCCCTTTAATTACAGTTAAATTAATCAAACTTGCATGAACTTATTAATGATCTAACTCTGCTCCGACAAAGTTCGTGCAAGTTTGATTAATTTAAGTGTAATTAAAGGGAAATTAATTAATGATCTAACTCTGGTTAAGTGTAATTAAAGGGAAATCTCCGTCAAACAGAGTTAGATCATTAATAAGTTAATACAAGTTTGATTAAGTTAAGTGTAATTAAAGGGAAATCTCCGACAAACAGAGTTAGATCATTAATAAGTTAATACAAGTTTGATTAAGTTAAGTGTAATTAAAGGGAAATCTCCGACAAACAGAGTGTTAATACAAGTTTGATTAAGAGTTAGATCATTAATAATTGTTTGTCGGAG